GGTGGCTCCTCGCCTCTGGAACAACTTACCTCCTGAGATTCGCGTGGCCCCCTCGCTGGTATCTTTAAGAATCAATTAAAAACATGGCTGTTTCGGCAGGCCTTCCCATCAGATAATCCCTGACGCCCTTTTTTCCTCTCTTATTGTTCCTCCCACTTTGTGTAATGTTTTACTATTTAGTAATTGTTTTATATATCAATTTTATTGTACTATTTATGTTGTTAGCCGCCTAGAGTGGTCCTGATCCGACCAGATAGGCGGGCTATAAATAAAATAAATAAATAATAATAATAATACAGTGATCCTTTCCTGATATAAATTCCAAGATATAACTTGCTCAGAACTGGCCCCTCTTCTGGGGATATTCTGGAATGCATAACTTGCCCAAAGCAATACAGCCTAACTGCTCTCCGGCAAAGCACAGTGTAGAATCAATTCCTGATGTTCTGATTCAGTGTGGTATCTGGCCAGCCAGCAAAAATATACTACCTGTTAATTCTTTATTAGAGGTATGTATGCATGGCTCTCCTAGCCACTGATGATGAGCAAATTAGATAAAATAATAGAAGGTGGGAAAAAGAAGTGAAATTCTGAGACAAAAAACCCTCTTTACAGACATGGTGGTGCGAGGCGACTGGACCCAGAGCACCCCTAATTTGTTTGTGTCATTTCTAGCTTGCAGTTATGCAAAATGGATATTATCCCATTGAAAACATCAGAAATTTCTACTTGCATAAAAGGGTTAGTGAATTCCCTTGCAGAGGTGGCAATTGAAGAGTAACTGCATGCAGAATGGATCAACCCAAGAGAATATTAGGCAAAAGATTCCATAAAATCCATAAAATAGGTCCAGAGATTTTTTATGATAGAGAGAACACCCTGAACATTACACATTTTGTTTGAAGCATGAAAGGGGAGGGGCTAATCTAGCCTCCCTAGGGAGCTGGTTCTATATTTGAGAAAAGCAAAGGCTGTATTTTATATACCCACTAGCTTAAGAACATAAGAAGAGCCCTGCTGGATCAAGCCACGGGCCCATCTAGTTCAACTTCATGTATCTCACAGTGGCCCCACCAGATGCCTCTGGGAGCACTCGAGACCACTAGATAACTGTCTCCTGATACCCCTTGCCTGCATCTGGTATTTTGAAGGACCTTCCTTTTAAATCTGGAGATGATACATCTCCATCATAGCTTGTAACCTGCGATGGACTTTTCCTCCAGGAATCTGTCCAATCCCCCTTTAAAGGCATTTAGGCCAGATGCCATCACCACATCCTGTGGCAAGGAGTCCCACAGACTAACACACTGGGTCAAGAAATGTTTTCTTTTGTCTGTTCTCACTCTCCAAACACTTAATTTCAGTGGATGTCCCCTAGTTCTGGTATTGTGTGAGAGGGAAAAGAGCTTCCCTCTATCCACTTTATCCAGCCCCTGCATTATTTTATACGTCTGAGTCATGTCCTGCCTCACGCGCGTTTTCTCTAGACTAAAGAGCCCCAAACACTGTAGCTTTCTTCACTGTTTTACTTAGAAAAATTCTTTTTTTGACGCGGACTGGCTACGGATTTCGTTTACCACCGTTTCTCTACATTCGGACTGTTTTTAGATCATTCTATCGCGTTTTTCCCTTCAACTTGGCTGCCTTGGTTTTTCCCGCCCTTTTTCCTACTACCACTAACGGCTGGCTTATGCCTTCTGGGCCCTTCAGTCGCTGTGTGGACTGTGAGAGGAAGATTCCCCATCAAGATCTGCACGACCGCTGCCTTTTTTGTCTGGGTGAATCCCACCAGACAAAGTCTTGCCGCCATTGTAAAACTTTCACCAAAGCGGCTCTTAAAGCGAGGCAGCAGCGGCTTAAGTTCCACCTCTGGGAATCGAACCTTGCGGCCACAAAACCCACAGATTCCGAAATGGCCTCACCATCGATGTCTCACCAGTCTGAGGCAACGGCTGCCCCTCAGCCTGTTCCATCAAAACCCGTTCCAGCAAAAAAACCGGTCGCTGGAAAAAAGTCTTCCTCAAAGATAAAGTCGGCTGTCTCTTTGAAATCTGCAAAGCCAAAGACAAAAGCCCTTGAGACAGTTAAAGATCTGACTGCTAACCCTCCACTGATCTCGCAGTCTTTACCGTCCCCTTTACTGGAAGACTCCTCTCGGGATCGCGAGTCCTTGTCGGAGACAGCACCCTCTCTGCCTCCTCGACAAGCGGAGCCATCTTTGCCGCGTGGAGCACCCTCTCCGACACCGAGTCAACTCGCCAGTGTCACGGCGGGGCTGACGGCTGGCCCCATCTTGTTTAAAAGATACTCAACAATTCCATGTTTATGGAGCTGTTTTTAAATCTCCACCCCCCCAATGTTTTGGTTTCTGAAGCATGCTAATATCTCAATTTTTCCTAATATCACAGTTTTGTTTTAGCCTTCTTGACAGTCAGTAACCTGAATGTTAGAAGGAATAGTTATAACTGAGTCCTTTTACTATCATGACCATTAAATAGACAGTTTTACATGAGTACATCTATTTTACCTGTCTTTAGGAACACAGTAGTTGCAATGTACAGTGAGAACATATTAAAACCATAACTGTGATAGAACTGTGATAGAGAATGTATTTTCAGCCATCATAGAAACCCTGTTTTTTTGTGTTAAGTGGCAACAAAGTACAGTATTGGAGTAAGAGAAATAAATGTTGGTTGCTTTATAGTGACCTCTGGTGGAAATCCTGGGACATCTGTGTAAACCAACTTATATTTATTTTGTATTGATCCAAAGTGAATCTTTTGCTCATTGTTGCATTTTTAAAAGTAATGATAAACTAGACCAAATCTTCTTGTTTGGTTACTTTGGTGTAACACAAGTGGTGAAGCTTTTGGAGGCAAATTGTCTTAAATTAAGAAATCGCCGTAGATATGACCTGGTACGTACCAAGTTGTATCACTTCGAGCCTGTAAATATAATGTCTACACAGTGGTTTATTAATTTGGTACAATTTGCATCCGATTGTTGTGCCACTTCCATGATTACAGAAGTGGATTTTGGTGGCTGTATTTGGAAATAAGGCATGAGGCACCTTCACTGTTCCAAATATTTGCTGTTCTTGATGAAGAAATGGGGAACATATTGTTCATGAATAGGAATGTGAGACAATGCTTTCAAGTTTCTGCTAATGCTAATTTGGAAGAAAAGTGGAAGTTCATCTTTACTCCTGGGACTGTTTTGCTTCCTTCTCTCTTTCTGGTAATTGCATATTGTCCTAATGACCATGGAGGAGAAAATAGTCTTCCAAACCTTGATTTTGCTTGATTGGCTACCAGCTTTTCAGCTTGCATAATGTTGAGGCATACAGAAGATTATGTCTTACTTGAAAATAAAGTGTTGTAGAGAGACAATTCTTTTTCAAAATTCTCAACTACTGTTTCTGTTGTACAGTATTTAATGTATTTTTGATCCCCTTTCCTCCTCTCCCCCTATATGTCAAATATATTTTGAGTGTGCCCCATAGCAGTTTAAATTTCTGGGTTATGGCCTTTAAAAAGCTGACAGCTGGAATGTTCACAACCAGAATATGTTTGAAGGCATCCATTGGGCAATTGCCTTTAGGAATGAAAACCGTTTTGGCTGAAAAGAAGAATGAATTATCCAATGAATTGATCTGAATAGTTAACCTGCAGTGGTTTTTTCCCCTTCCTTTTGATAGGTTTATTACCCGTCCTGATGTCAAACAAAAAAGAATGGCAGACTTCCTGGACTGGACCCTTTCAACCTTATCTAAATCCTCTTTTCAGACTATGGAGGGAGCTATTGTAATGGATGGTATGCTTCAAGCTCTGGTAAACAATATTTTTCTCTTACTTTTTTTTCACACACACACCCCCTTTAAATGCTCTTGGCTGGCAGAAACTCAGTAGTTGGCATTCAGTTAGTTTTTGGTGCCATAAGCTTTTGAGTCATTTGTAAGTACAGCTTTGTGAATTATATGTGATTGCCTGATGCAATATAGAACACAATTTATTTTCTAGAAACAGTCAAATGGCAGAGGAGATTTCAGCAACTGCAACTTTTTTCAGGCTTTACGCACCATGATAGAAGAGGTTGCTCCTGCTTCTATGTAATTATTAAAGATACTGAAACTTTGCTGCTTAAGATTAAATGTGTCAAAACTACCAAGTTCCCCATTGTTTTCTTTTCTGATCTTACTGTTTTGAATTGTGTGATTTTGACTGTGCTAGTGAAGGACTTGCTGAAAATTAGATGGTAAAGAACACTTTTTTGCATAAGAATCAAATTCAGTTTCAAAGATGTTCTCTGGGCTACATTGCCAAAGACAGAAAGACAAGACCCCAGAATACCAGTGTATTTTAACATAAAGTTCTTAACTGCCAATAACTAAGCGTTGGGAGAAGTGTTAGAATTATAGAAATCTATACAAAATCCGAGAAACCATTACTGTCATGAAAAGGGATGCGTGGCTGTCTAGAGAACCCTATAGGAGAACCCTGTTTGGCCTACAGGAGAGTTGGATGATCTGTTCACCTGGGTTAGGTTGTGCTACTTCATATGAAGCTTAATCACTGACCAACCGATGCAAATATTCAGCTTTAAGGCCAAGTTCAGATTCCAATCTCAGCATAGTAAACCATTTGGTTTGAGAGTGATCCATGAGCCCATGTGATCCAACCTTCTTTTCCCCCTGATCTTTCTTAAGATACCCAGCAGTACTATTTCTGCCCTGTTTCTGTACAGTTTTTTTTAAAGAACTGCTGCTGGTTGTGTCAGAGCTATATATTATGTATAGTAGTAACTGGCTTGTCAAATGTTACAGGCATGCCACCTCATACATCTAGTGAACAACGCCTTGCTTTCTGTGTTGCAGTGAACTCGTGATGAAATTGTTTGCAAAATTCTGTAGTCACATACCTGTTCCTTATTAAAACAATTGCCCTGAAGTTCAATGCTCTGTTTTTCTGTATAGAAACAAATAGCAGCCATTGAGTGTTTTTGGAGAATGTAAAAGACTGTATATACAGACTCTGAGTGGGATCCTAAATTGCAGACTGTTTATTTCTAGGGGTAGAAAGTGAGCTGTTTTTGCAACTCCCCCCAATGTTTTTCTTCTTAAGACATGAGGAATTGTGACCCAAGAAGCTTCCAGGATTTATGTTTAAAATAGGGCATTTGATCCCTGTGCACTTTGTTTTAATAAAAGATAAGATTTCTTTGAAACAAGATATGGGTTGTCAGTCAGTTCTAGATTTTGTGGTGGTGATGGTGCAGCCCATGTTGGGTTCAATAAGTAGGAAAACTAAGGTGCTGAGAACTAAGCTTTCTTCTGTTTTCCTAGCTCTATCTCTTTATCTTCACAAGTTCCATTTCTTGGTCACATAGATGTCTAATTCTAGTGTACACTTCTCTTCAGTTAAAGTGAATACTGTATAAACATTTTTCCCTGTTACTAATAGCTTTTGTGTGTGTGTGTATCTGAAAGCTTTTTCGTGTGTGTGTGTGTGTGTGTGTATCCTTGCTTAAAGCAAGAGGAAAGAGAAAAGCTTTGGGTTTTGTGTTGCAAGATTTGAGAGTTAAGTCTTTGTCATCACCTTAACAAAAGCTTCTGTTGCATGATGAAACATGTAGGATGTGTATTACTTCAATGTTAGTCATAATTTCTTTGAATTCAGTTCTATTCCACCTGTTATTAATGTGTGTTAAGTGAAACAGGTGAAAACCTAACAAGTAGGATCGAAACTAAGGATGATATGTCCTTTTCTTTGAATGAGGAGCTTAAGCCTGCCTGTCATTTGGATTTTTTCTTTACTAGAACAGAATGAGTTCCTGTAAATCAGCCTTTTTTATTTGGTTGTTTCTCCTTGTGTAAATTCAGAATGTTAATGTACAGATTCAGGGTGTTTGTACTATTCAATGTTTTCAGTGGATTTTTCCTTTTGTATTAAAAGCTTTGGTTATAAACAACAGGGAAATAATATTGCAAAATCTAGAACTGACTGACAAACCACTTCTTGTTTCAAATAAACCTTAACTTTTATTAAAACAGTGAATATTAGAAGAGAAAATGAACAACTTCCAGTGTTGTGGTTATTGAATAGGTTTTATATAAAGATGATAGATAAAATCAGCATTTGTATAACTTAGATTAATTCAGCTATTTCATATGAATAGTATTTTGCTTACCAGGCTAATTTATTAAGATTTTTTTGCATCTTAAAACCCAATGGTAAATGTCTTTAGATAGTATACAGGTCTTCTTTTATGCAGCCTTTTCTTAATGAAGTTCTCTAGATTCCTGGAAAAAAAATCTTTAAAAAGGGTAACAGTCTGGCTCTTCCATTTTTGTCTTGGGCCAGAGTTTGTGGTTTTGTAATAATGCAGTGTGATAGAAATGGAGAAGCCATTTAGGGATGTAAGAAGTGTGGTTCATTTCTTCCTTTCCAACAATATGTCTTTCTTTGATCTTTCATTGGTTTCTACATTCCAGGCCTGGAAAGAGCATAGAAGACAAGAGAGTGTCCACTGTCTAGCATTTTTAGTTGCAACAGAAATCAATTCAAACTTACTATATCTAGGAAGGATATAGAAAATATGGCTGAAATAAGGAGTGTGTGTGAAAATTTGTAAGGCAGGCACACGAAGTATTATATCCTGCATGTATCTTATATTGTAGTTTTCATGGGAATGGCCAATGCCCAGGAGTTACTGGAGATGCCATTTAGTAGATCTGGAGTATATGGTCTAATGGTGAAAGGGTAAGAAGTCATTTCTGTTGTCTTCAGAAAAAGTCTTCACTTCATCCTTCTATGAAATTTCATAGATCTTTCATTAATTAGAATATGTAGTACATGGAAAAGAGTGGTTTATGATTTGCATTTAACTGTTCTCAAACAATTACAATAACTCTCTAATAAATGTGGTTGGGGTTGATAGTTGTAGCTAGGCCCCTAGCTACAAGTCTGTTCAGATGTGATTTCTTCATTCTGTGGAGCTACATGTGTGAAGGTGGATATGAATCTTGATTTTATACGCTCCATCTCTGGTGCCTTATGACTTGTAGAAGATAATTATTTCGTTGGACATTGTGCAATTGTTTGTATGTTGGACCTATTCTTCCAGACTTTATTACATAGACATCACTAGAAAAGCAGGTTTTACTTCCTGGATTAAAGGGAGCATACATTTAAATAAATGCAAGACCAGCCTTTGTAATCACCGTATTATCCACTTAGTGGGATGGAATGTGCAGCCCTGAGAGTCACTCTGCTCCATTTTCACCATATGTTTAGGTTTAGCAAGAAGAGAGAGTTGGGGGAAAGAAGTAGCACTCAAACAGAATCTTGAGTTCTGAAAGATTTCTTAAATTTGCCGGAGCAAACTGGCATGTTCCTATTTAATTCTTCATTTAATATACAGTGGTTAAGACTGACAGTTCTTGTTGGAACATGTGCTGCATATTACACAACCTGATTCCAATTATGGGCTTGTTCTGCTGCACCTGTTGGTAGGACACCTGTTGTGAAATTATATGTTGCCAACAGGGAGCACAACTTGATCCCTTTCAGCTACAGGTTTGAAATATGGCACTAAAAGGCAGAATTGCATGTGTATTGTATGCTAAAGAGATTTACATGAAATGCCTTGGTTATTTATTTGTAACTAGCTGGTTGCTTGGTATCGGTGGGGAATTTCTGCTCAGTGTTCAGAGGAGTTTCATCAGGATTACTGTTCCAGGGCAGGAATGGATTCATATCCTCTCCATTTCTTCTTTGATCCTGTTATTTCTCAGTCCTTTGGTTGGTGCCATTTAGACAAAGGAAAACACTTAAGATACGAAGATGCCTTTAACTTCTGTGTGGTTTGACACTGATATTCTGATAGATGAAATTTACATGTAAAAATCTTTGAATGACTGAAAAGAGCATTGATGCAAAATGAGTGAAAAAACTACTATTTTTCTGTAATTGTAGGAAACATCTGTTTGAGAACTCTGTAGCATTAACTCAATAGGCCAGCAAGTTTGCTTTTAAACCTGCCCCTATGTAACCAGCAAATGTTTTGTTAGCCCTGCAGGGTGTTAGCACATCAGGCTCTTGCGTGACAGCAGCGTGTCCTCATCTTGGAATAGCCTGGGGCATAGAAACTTACTAAGCTGTGTTTAATTTCTTTTATAAGAGGTATGGTATACAAATATGAGTTATGAATTTAAATAAACTTCCTGGCTAGAATTCTTTATCAGAATGGGCTACCTTAACTACTGTTTTTATGTGTGTCTTAAGAAAAGGGCATTTCCCTGAACACTCCCTATCTTTTTCAGTATTGTCTGGAAAAACCTCTGTGTTGTGGTAGATTAAGCCCCAGGTGAGAGATATCCAGATTATTAATGTTTTAAGTCTTGGGGCACAAAAGCAGAAGTGTAGGTCACTGTGGCCCCTGTACTTATTTTTTGACATGAATCAAGTTTTTAACCTGTTCGAGTACGCACAATTTAAAAACCTGTTAACCCAAGGTTTTGTGGCCACTTTTCTGTTGTGTTATCTGTCTCGTCTATTAAAAGGTTTTGAGTCTTCTAAGCTGCCTTCTCTGCCCCACCCCACCACTAGAAGCCTAGACAATCCCCCCCTCCCTTTAATTTCAGGCTGCTTTCAAAGTTTAATTGCAGTTTGTACTTTAATCCTATTTATGGTTTTTCATTTAGGGCTTAATTTTAGTTCACTCAAAACTGCTAATGTATATTTTAATAAGGGATCGAGGGAGATGCCTTATACTGAGTCAGATAATCATTTCAGTTGACTCAGTACTGTCTATCAGCAGCTGTCCATGGTTT